GGATTAGAAAACATGCCTGATAGGGTACCTCTACACAGCATTTAAAGACGTGCAGCTGGCCTGGGTCAGCTACCTCGGGTTTACGGGGCTCAGGCTGTGGGGCTGGAAAACTGCTGTGTGGATATTTGGGCTCGGGCTGGAGTCCCAGCTCTAGGACCCCACGAGGGGGAGGATACTAGAGCCCGGGCTCCAGACTGAGCCCGAAAGTCTACACGGCAATTCTCCAGCCCCTCAGCTGACACAGGCCACCCACAGCTGTGCCGCAGGTCTTTTATCCCTGTGTAGATATACCCATAGTGATAGGCTCCAGGAGCTCAATCTATTTAGCTTAACAAAAGGGAAGTTAAGGGGGTGACTTGATTACAGTCGATAAGTACCTACACAGGGAACAAATATTTGATTATGAGCTCTTCCTTCTAGTAGAGAAAGGCATAACATAATCCAATGGCTGGAAGCTGAAACTAGACAAATTCAGTCTGGAAATAAGGTGTAAAGTTTTAACCATTGGGACAATTTGCCAAGAGTCATGGTGGAGTCTTCATCTCTTTCAATTTTTAAATCCAGATCAGATGTTTTTCTCAAAGCTATGTTCTAGGAATTAATTTGGGGATGCTCTACAGAGGAGGTCAGATAACGTGATATCACACATCCCTTCTGGCCTTGGAATCTAGAAGATGATCACATTCTGGTCTAAAAGCTTCTATGTGGCTAGTCACAGCTTTTACCACAAGGGAGAGCTCTGGGCACAGCTACTGCCTCCCAGACAAGTGGAAGCGCTTCCAGAAATAACTAGAATTCAATGACTTCCTTTAAATGGCACATCTGATGTTGATATTTTTCTGTTGAGTTCACGCTGGTGAAAGAGCTCCATCTGCTTTTTCAGGTTTGCTTTTGTCACGGTGCTCAAGAGCCTATTTGCTACAATAAGAATAGCTGGCACATCTGCAGTGCCCTACAGCTGAGGGCCTTGATGCCTTTTGAAAACACTGATTAATGAAACTTCAACACCCCTCTGAAGCCTCAGTCAATGCAGTTCCCTTTGGTACCCCTGGTAAGTGTCCTTTTTACAGAGGGGGAAACTGAGGCACAGATTGGTGACTTGAGCTGCCCATGGTCACACAATCTATCAGATGCAAAGACACCCACCACTATCAGCCTGCAGGAGAAACTGAAAATCCTGTGTCCCCCCAGCTGACACCTGTCCCTATCCCCATGCCCTGGTTTCTTTTTGCTATCTGGGGGAAAAGATTGGTATCAAAGAAATGTAATTTTGTATTCTTTTTTAATAATCAGACAAATAATATACTCTTACATCATGTGAATCCAGACAGCTGAGGTGCTTAAGAGCTGCAGCTTCTCTGGATAGGACTCCTTTCTCTCTCTCTCTCTCTTTCTCTCTCTCTTTTCCCCTGTCACATTCAATGTCACTTTCTAGTTGCAGAGATAGCAGCAGTGTTCCTGCAGTATCCACAGCTATGCTGCCACTTCAAGGCCTGACATTTAAAGACAGCCTGAGAAATTCCCCAAAGGCGTGAGGGTAGGTAGGTATGCACAGGACTCTTTCCTTCTAGTTCTCTGTGCTGACCACTAGAGACCCTCCTAGAGGAATCCTCGGACACTTCTGCAGGGTACATAGAATCTTTGATCTTTCACTGTCAAATGTATGGGTCAAATTCTGCTCTCAATTACACCAATATAAATCTGGAGTAATTCCATTGGGACAGATCCTCATTCACTCCTGGTTTAGAGCAGCTAAAGAAGAGCAGAGTTGGGCCTTCTCTGGAAAGGTACTGAGGATATGTGGGGAGAGTGACAGGAAACAATGATGTTTCTCATTAAGATGACCTAGTTCCTCATGATTTCTAAGCACAGCACTTATTCTACAAACCAGACCAGGGTAATTCTATTTGTCTTTTTTCATTGTTCTGTGATTAGATTGTACATTTTATAATCCATTACATGCTGGCATCTGAACAGGAACTACAGTGTCACTTGTATTAACAGTTAGCAGCTGTCTCTCTCATTTGCCATATGCATACACTTTAAATCTGTGTCAGAGCATTCACCACAATCACACCAAGGTTACTGAATTATCAGAGAGCCAAATGTCCAGTGTTGCATTGTGACCATTTGCTCACCCTAAATTTGTTGACAGGTAGTCTTGGCTTTCTTCTACATTGCACAGTGTGAAAGGGCTCAGGAATCCTTAATGCTCTGTGTCCTATGTAACTAGTAGGTTACTGCTCTTTGAATCCTCTAGTGACCCATGGTAATTATCACCTGACAGGTGTTAGGAGATCAATGTGAGATGATTCTCCAGTCCTGTTCCTAGCAGACAGGTTCCTATAGTTTTCAGAGTAACAGCCGTGTTAGTCTGTATACGCAAAAAGAAGAACAGGAGTACTTGTGGCACCTTAGAGACTAACAAATTTATTAGAGCATAAGCTTTCGTGGACTACAGCCCACTTCTTCGGATGCATATAGAATGGAACATATAATG